GTACTCTTTTTTTGCCATTTTTGAGTATGCTGGGTAGTTTTAGTTTTTTTTGTCCAAAATCCGCCTGTAGGGGGACACGCCCGACCTAGCGCTGGATGATCGTTTTGGGGGGGAACCTTCCTGGGGCCCACCTCGCGGACATTCGATTATTCTTGTTCGGCTCTGGTTTTTAATCGGGCACGTCCCTCTATAGGGGGAATAGTTTAAAATAGTTTAACAATAGTATGAGGACGATTTTGTTGCACTATGTTTGAGAATGTTGAAATATGTTTGGGGTATTTCTTATTGCTGTCGTCCAAAATCCGCCTGTAGGGGGACACGCCCGATCTAGGGCTGGGGCCCACCTCGCGGACGCTCGATTCTTCGTCGGTGCTAGTTCGACTCCCAAGTGCGACGCAAGTCGACGGGCGTTCGACGCAGTAGCGACGGATGAGCAGAGCGAGCGTCTCTCCAAAAGGGTGCCCAGAACGAGCGTCCAAGGTGAGCAGTCTGGACGAGTCGGCGGCGGTGCGGGAGGATGCGAGCGGTGCTGGGCTGGTCTCGGGTTAAGTCGGGCATGACCCTCTACACGAGGAATTCTCAAACATAGTCACACACACACAAAAATAGAGGGACGATTCTTCTGTAATTTTTTGGAAGATTCGTGAATATATGTTTTGGCTATGCTTGATTTTCCTTCCACCATCCGCCTGTAGGAGGACGTGCCCGACCTGAGTCTCGGGCCCTCTGGGCACCGGTCCGGTGGAGAGAAGGGGGGGGCGTCTGGCACAACCCCCCCCAGGGCCCGAGCCTCTCCTCGGCCTCTCCTGCGGTGGCCACCCGAGGCCGTTTTGCCGCGCTCCCCGGGGGCGCTCGGAGAGCGCCCCCGGAGGAGGAGGAGGAGGGGGAGGGGGAAAAGGAGGAGAAGGAGGAGGGGAAGGAGGAGGAGGAGGAGGAGGAGGAGGAGGAGGAGGAAGAGGAGGAATAGGCGGAAGAGGAGGCGGGGGCGACGTTTGAGCACGCTCTGCGTGCCTGTCCTCTCGGATATGCCTCCCATGGGGGCCCACCTGGGAGCCTCGTGCGGTCTCATCGGTGCCAGTTCGAGGTCCTCCAGCCGTCTTAAACAGACGGCCCGGGCCGTCCCGGGCCGCCTGGAAGCAGTCTCGGCCGCCTTCGGGCACGAGCCTGCTGGGGTCGTGTCGGAGCTCGCATAAGCCTTGTTGAAAGGGCCGCATCTGGACCTAATCTGGGCAGTCACATGGAGCGATGCAGTCAGGCGCGCTCGGGTAAGAGGGGGATGCGGCCTTGAACTGTGTAGCGCACTAATATTGTAGACGGCATGGCAGCACGGGCGTTCTAACACTCCGCCATTTGCCAGGTGGCGTGGCGGCGCATTTTACATCACCGCGCTCCAAGAATAATGTACTTTTCTCACCGCGGGTGCCGTAAGCTCTTCTGGCGTTCAGCTGTGCCCGAACTGCGGTGCACCGGTTCTCTCTTTCACCACAATGACCAGCCACAATGATTAGCATCACGCTTGCGTTGGTATCAGGCAGTGTCAATGTTGACGCTCGGCTGCACCGAAACGTGTCGAGCCCTTCCGATGCGCTGTCAAAAGCGACCTCACAGTTCCCCCATGGTGGCCGGAGGAAGACCAAGCGATGATTTAGGAAGGAAGGATGTGAGCGGAGCAATCACTCAACAGACTGAAGGGCATTGATTGGACGAAGATGAGCTGGGCAGTGTGCTCGATACCCACGGCGCACGGCAGTCGAAGAGCTTCTGCCAGGGCTCACCAGCAGGCTCATGTAGTGCTTGAACATGACCATTTCACGCATGGTGATCGTTTTCTCATTCATTGTTTTGCCGATCGGCGCGGGCTCTCGCACCCCCTCTCCTGCCCCCCCCCCATGGAGTAGATCTTGGATCTTTGTGGCACCTGTTGCGAGCAGGTGGAGTCTCCCCCATGGGACGCACTGTTTCAGACAGTCGCATTAAGCAGAGGTCCGAAGCCAGAACCCCCCCCTCTGCCCCCCTTCTGCCCAGTGTCGAAACGCCGAGAAAGAAAACTCTCACATGCTTGTTGGAAGCACAGTAAATTTAACGCTAGCGTGGGCTAACTGCCTGCGTGTCTAGCGAATCGCATATGACACCGAAAGGACATGTCGAGACCAACACGTCCCTGGGCACCCAGAAATCCCATGTAAAAAGAAGCCGCGCCATGAGTGGCAATTGGGCGTCGGGAGATTTTGCACATCCAAAGCCACAAGCAGCATTGTTCACTGATGACGCAGCCTGGCCAAGAGTGGCTACGAGTTTGATCGCGAGTAGAGCAGCATCCGAGTTGTAGGCATTACGTACATGGGAGGAAAACACACCCGCGCGTGAAATCACGAGGATGAAGATTGCTTAGCAGTGACCCGCCCTTTACATGTTCTGCGCAGAGCGCAGATGTTGCGAAGCACCCGCGAGCGGATCCCATTGAGCGACGTGAGAAAACTTAATGGAGGAAGAAACACAACGACCCCCACTGCTTGCGTTTGCGAAGCAGTCCTGTGCGTTTACTGGACAGCCCTGGCCTGTCCGACTCCTTCGAAAACGGTGCGTTTACGGAACGGCTTCGCTTGAGACATCGCGTACGGTCGCCGCACCCTCGCGCGTGAGGCCCTTTGTTTCCCCCTATGCCCCCGGCGTTGTGCTTTGTGTCTTGCGACGTGGGCCCCCCAAAGGTCTGGACCCTGGGGCCGGCTTCTCATCACGAGTCGTAACATGATGTTCTTGGGGCTCGCACATCGCATTTTTGTTTCACGACGCGATGAGGTCTGGGCTCGCCACTCCATTGCAGACGAAGCCCAGTGGCTGGCTGGCACGCTGCTGCTGCGGCTGATTGCCGCTGCTGGCTGCTGGCTGCTGCCGCTGACGCCCGCCCCAGTTCCGGGCCTCGCCGCCGAGGTAGCGAGATCGCGGGCCTGCGAGACATGCTCCAGCGGCTCCAGTCGCCCGGCTGCAGTCTTCAGGAGGGCCACCCCTCCAATCTCGCCTTTCTTTCCCTCCCTCTCACCTCCCGTCCGTTCCATTGCTATCGCTCGTTCCTCTTTCCCTCCCTCCCCTCTGTCTTCTTTGTCGTTGTTTATATTAGTCTGTTATCTCCTTGCTTCTTTCATTATCTTTCTCTCTCTCTCTCTCTCTCCCTCTCTCCCTGTGTAAATATACATGTAAATATGTGGGCATGTATATATATATATATATGTATATATATATATGTGTGTGTACATATATATATATATAACCCCTGCGCAGCTGTGTACAAGTCACACCAGCATACGCCAAACAATACATGTCGTCGCGCCGTTTGCTCCGACGCGCGGCCTTGCATTTCGGGGAGGACGCCGCGGGCACCAGGGCAAACTCCGCATCGGGCGCGCTAAGTTCGCCCTGGGGTTTGCTGTGGCGCCGGCTGCATCTACTTGGGGCGCGGGGCGCAGGGTTTGCCGTGGATTCGCCATGGTGTCGGTTTTGTCCGCTTGGCCGAGTCGAGTCGAGGACAAATTGCGCGGCGACACATAGGTGCATGTGTGTGTATGTACAAACACAAACGCGTACACACATACCCTTGTTGTGTGCATGTCTGTACCCAGTTGGGTATACGCGCCGAGCTGCTCGGTACCATATGGTGTTGCGGTGCCGTTCAAATAGAGCCCGTATGCCCGTGTATGTATATATATATATGGTTACGGCCCATATCCTTGAAGTGAGCAGTCCATGCTCAGGCTTGCTTGTAATATGTCACACCAGTATGATGTTGCGCGGGATGTGTACCTGTATATGTGCAGATGTATATAGAGTCTCTCTCTCACTATATATATATAGATATATGCATATATCCTTCACTCATTCGCTATGGATGCCCATCTTTCGACATAATGGTAAAGCCGCTTCGCACCATCCTTCTATATCACTCTCTCGACGTGTCTCGCTGTCTCTTTTTCTCTCTCTCTCTCTCTCTCTCTCTCTCTCTCGTTCTATCGGTCTATATATATATATATAGAGATCGCGCTCTCTCTCTCTCTCTCTCTCTCTTTCTCTATGTATCGACTTCTCTCTATCTCTCTCCCCCCCTCGCTCCCTCCCTCTCTCTTTCTTTTTGTTCTCTCTCTATATATATAGGCATATGCATGTACTGATACCCTTATCTTCGTATTTGCAGGCATACACAGCCCTCGATGCACACGTTTATGAATGTACACGTATAACAATATGTGTGTGCATACGCAAACATATATATATATATAAGTATAAATGTAGCATTCCTCGCCACGCACCCAAACATCGAAGTTAGCGTTTTTGCTCGGTCCATACCTCTTCCTCTCTCTCTCTCTCCATCGCTCACCCTCTCTCGTTCTCTCTCTCTCTCGCTCTCTCTCGCTTTCTCTATCCCTCTCTCTTTCTCTCTCGCTCGCTCTCTCTCTCTCTCTCTCTCTCTCTCTTTATCTGCATGTATACGATCTCCAGGCCGAGGGTTCAAAGCCCCCCTCGCACACCCCCCAGACGGCAGGGGCCCCAGGATCCCACAGCCCCCGCCAGCCCCAGATGGGACGGGGGGGACGGACGACGCCGACGCCGACGCCGACGCCGACGCCGACGCCGACGCCGATGCCGACGCCAACGCCGGCGACGACGACGACGACGACGACGCCGACGACGCCGACGCGGACGCCGACGCCAACGCCGCCGACGCCGACGGAAGACTCCGATGCGGACGGGAGACGCCGACGCCGACGGAAGACGACGACGACGACCACGACCACGACCACGACGACGACGACAACGTCGAGCCACCCCACACCCACAGGGGGAGGGGGGGGCACCAGCACCCTCCAGGCACCCTCCACCACCCCACACCCACAGGGACACGACCACAGGGAGGAGGAGCGATCCAATTCGCCAGCGTATACCCATCCAGCGGAGGGGTCTCGATCCCATACGTACTGTGTGGGGGGGGGGGGGGGGGCAACCCTGGATCATATATCCCCGTGAGGCCCCTGGGGCTCTCTCTGGGGCCAGCTTCTCATCCTGAGCTGTTCTCTGAGACGCCCCAGGGCCCGGGCAGAGCTCCGAAAGGCCAAAGACGCCCAGAAACCTCTGAACCTTTTCTAGGGTCCATTCCGATCTGATCCGATCCGATTCCCGCGTTTCGACAATCCGATCGGGCCCGAAGCTTGCATCACGCTGCTGTGCATTCTGGCACGGCCTTGTCCGATCCGATCTCGATCTCGCACCGCATGCAGCCCTACCAGGCGCACATGCCGATCCGACTCGATGCTGCCTGATTCTGCACCTGGGGTCCAGGACCCGTTTCCTCAACGACCCGTGCCCGTCACGCCAGCCACGAGCGACGAGGGTGCTCTTGTCAACGCGTTCGTGGTCTGGATGCCGAGGCGCGATCCCGTTGGTACGGTAGGTCCGTGCGGCGATGGCTCTCTGGCGACGCTGGCGAAGGCATTTCAGGTTGAGCTCCGCACGGGAGCAGGACGTGGAACCACCTGAGGAGCACGGCAACACCACGGGACCCGACGGAATTCCGCCTCGGACGATCGGGGCCGCGATCGGTTCTAAGGTCGAACGGTCTGCGCGGTGTCAGAGACACTCTTGCGCGCGCCAGCGCCGCGCGGAGCCTGCCGCACGCGATCCCAGGGACGCGTGCCACGCGGGGCGTCCGATCGGGGCCGCGATCGGCTCCAAGGTGGAACGGTCGGCGCGGCGTCCAGAGACACTCTTGCGGCGCGCCAGCGCCGCGCGGAGCCTGCCGCACGCGATCCCGTGGGACGCGTGCCACGCGGGGCATCCGATCGGGGCCGCGATCGGTTCCAAGGTCGAACGGTCGGCGCGGTGTCCAGAGACACTCTTGCGCGCGCCAGCGCCGCGCGGAGCCTGCCGCCCGCGTGCCCGTGGGGGCGTCGCGGCCGGGGAGCCCAGGTTTTCCGCGGAGCCGTGGGTGCCGGGCACCCTCGAGTGGTGCCATGGGCGGCGACGGCGGCGACAGCGACAGCGACAGCGGCGGCGACGACGACGACGACGACGACGACGGCGGCGGCGACGACGACGGCGACGACGGCGACGACGGCGACGACGGCGACGACGGCGACGGCGACGACGGCGACGACGACGACGACGACGGCGGCGGCGACGACGACGGCGGCGGCGACGACGACGCCGACGGCGGCGACGACGACGACGACGGCGACGGCGCATCGTCTGGGGGCCTGCGCAGTACCAATCCGCCGCGGCGGAACCCAGCGAGAGGAAGCTTCCGAGGCGGGGATTTGTCCACGACCACCGCCTGGGGGGGTCGATTTTCGCGGACCTCCACAGGCGGTGGAGTACAGATCTATTCGGGCCCCGGCGGGCCAACATGTATCCATGTCCACCGCCTGCTGGGGCACCAGAACGTCGGTTCCCAGACGGCGGACATGGATAGAATACCCGCCTCGCGAGGCTGGGCTGGATCAGGCAGCGGATGGCTCTCGGATAACGACTCAGAGCCCGAGGTCTTGGTGCTGCTTTACGATGCAGAAGCTATAACTATGGTCCAGGTGTTTCGTGCCGATCCTCCTGATTGTGAGGCGGCCCCCGCCACCGCAGGACGTGAAACACTTGGTGCGGGAGGCGCAGCGGATGCAGGCGGGCCTAGACCTGCCCAGCAGCATGCTGACGAGGGACAGCGCCTGCTCGTCGCCGTCGTCGACGCCGTCTTCATTCTCGTCGTCGCCGTCGCCTTCGTCGTCGTCTCAGTCCTCGTCGCCGCTGCCTTCTTCGTCGTCGTGTTGGTCGTCGTCTTCCTCGTTGTCTCCCGCCGTCATCTTCGTTGTCTTAGTCGTGGACGGTGTCGTCATCTTCGCCTTCGTCGCTGCCGCCGCCGCAGAGGTAGTCGTCGAGGAGGATCGAGGTATTTGGGCGCCTTGGGCCCTCCTCTGGGCCTCCTGAGACTTCTCGGAACTGGGACCTCGGGGGGGCAGTCGGGGACGTCCTTCCTTCCTCCTACCCCCTCCCCTCCTTCCTGCCGCCCCTCCCTCCTCCTCCTCCTCCTCCTCCTCCTCCTCCTTCTCCTCCTCCTCCTCCTCCTCCTCCTCCTCCTCCTCCTCCTCCTCCTACATATTCCTCATCCTCCATTCCTGCCACGCTCGCGAGGCCTCCGGAAAAGTCACGCGGCGATCACCAAGAACGCCCAGAAGTGCCTGGATCCCGGATCAAGGAGCTTTTACGACACTCAGTATGGAGGACTCGCAGGGACCTGCGGACACCCCACTCAGTGGCTCCCGGCACGGCGGCGCATTTTGCGAGCGGCTCAGGCGATCAACGCACCAGCGCAGCGTGTCAGCCCGTCTCTCTCTCTCTCTCTCTCTCTCTCTCTATATATATATATTTCTGTCTCTCTCTCTCTCTCTCTTTCTGTCTCTCCCTCTCCCTCTCCCTCTCTCCCTCTCTCTTGCCCACACCGTCGCTGGGCATGTACAGGCATGCGGCGCTCTCTCTCTCCACCGCGCAGCAAAGGCGCTGCCGCCGTCCTCGCCGCACCCGCGATGCCCCCGTGCTCGCCCTGGCTCGAGTCCGAGCCTCGAGCGCGCCGCGGGCCTGCAGTGAGTCTCGGGAGCTCGCCGCCGGCCGCCGCGGTGCCGCCCATGGCCGAGGCGGGCGGGCTGGAGGCCCGCGGGCTGCCGCCGGGCTGCTCCACCTGGCAGAAGACGAGCCTCATGATCGCGGCGCGGCACGGCCAGGCGGACGTCATCGCCCGGGCGCTGGAGACCTCCTGCGCCCAGCCGCAGCTGGACGCCTGCGACGAGGCCGGGAACACGCCGCTGATGATCGCGGCGCGCTGGGGGCACCTCGAGGCGGTGGAGGTGCTCGTCGGGGCGGGCGCGGACCTGTCCCTGGAGAACACGGAGGGCCTGACCGCCGCGGACCTCGCCGCGAGCGACGAGATCCGCGCGGCCATTCGCGCGGGCGAGCAGAGGGTCAGCGAGCTCGTGGCGTCCGTGTTCATGAGAGGCAGCGCTGGCTCCCGCGGGCGGGAGACATTCAGAGCGTGAGTTATCAGCGAGCGAAGAACGGTATAAAATAAACTTTTTCGCCGTCGGGGACACCTGCCCCTGGGCGGCTGGAAAGTGTATACCCCTACGGTGCCACCGTAAGGGTATGAACTTTCCAGTCGCCCTGGGGCAGGTGTCCCCGACGGCGAAAAAGTTTATGTTATACCGTTCTTCGCCCGTTAAAGTCACCTGCCCCCCGAGACATGTGAGGCGGTCCAGACAAGGGCCTCACCTTCGAGCATCGGGCGAGTTGTCATCTCTTCCTCGGCGGAAGGTCGACGGAAGCCTTCGGAAGTGTAACGAGGCCGCCTCCGCGCGCGGAAGCCAGCGGAAGGCCGGCAGGAGCAAAGATTCGCCCACCACGAGATGGCAAGGCTTCTTGGTTTCGGGTGTCTGGAACCCGCCATATCCGTATCCTTCGCTCTCTTTGCCAGCGCAATCGTGGAACGGTCTCCAAGGGCGAGCAGTTTGCACGTAGGCTTAAGTCGGGCCTGTCCCTCTACAGGGGGAATATTCAAAAATAGTCAAAAAATAGTCTGGGGACTATTTTTTGATTATGTAAAAAAACATTTTGGAGTATTTTTGGGTATCTTGTACTTTTCGTCAAAAATCCCCCTGGAGGAGGACACGCCAGACATAAACGTAGGCCACGGCGTCCGCTCTGGTCACTACCCCCCGTTCCACGATCGGGCCGGACGAAAGGGGGGGATTGGGAAAGGGGGGGTTACGAAATTTGCTGCATGCAGCTACCGTGGATGTAAAGAATTAACGCGAAACCCATCCGTAACATTGCATTCCGCCATTCAAAGATATGGAACGCAAACTAAGCATGAACGCCCCCAGGTTGAAAAAAATGCTTCCGTGTTTCGCGTTTATTGTTTACATTTTCGCGGGCAGCTTCCGATATTGCCCTACCTGGAACTCGCGGCCTTTGAATGGCGAAATCCCATGTTTTGAATAATGTTCGCGTTAATTGTTTACATCCACGGTAGTTTCGGCCCCACCGAGGGGCCCATTCCTCGATACATGGGCGCCTCCGGCGCCGGGAGGCGCCGGGAGAATCAGCTACGTGAGCTGATTCTCAAACCCCCCCTTTGCTATCCCCCCCTTTCGCCCGACCCGATACTCCCTCACGACCTCACCAGAGTTCATCAGGAGGGAAAGAAACACATAGACACAATTAATCGTCGACTCCCAGGAAAATGTGCAAAAATATGGGAAGGGGGGGGAAGACCAAAATCCAAAAAATATGGGAAAATATGGGGAATCTTTTTATTTGTGTGTATTCATTTGTGTGTCCTGGGGCCCCTTCAGTTCAAGAGGGAGCCCTCGCGGCCCAGACCCCTCGGCCGCGACCCCACAGGTGTGCAGAGCGGCCCTTGCGCGTGTGCCCCGCGCGGGGCGCATTCGTGGGATCGCTCAGCCGTGGGATCGCGCTTCGGCGTCAAGACCGCGAAGGCATGAATATTCACCACCCACCAAACCACCCCAACCCAACCCGAAGGCCCAAATTTACCCTCGATTTCCAGTGGGGGGGGGGTCGGGGAACATTGAAAAAACACATGTGGAACCCTTACACCCCCCCAACCCGAAATTCGGGTCCTCGGGTTGGGTTGGGGTGGTCTGGCAGTTAGTCAAATATGCATATGGGCGACGGAACAAAACGGAGTCGTCTTCACCGACATGGGTGCGCAAGCTGCCCGCGTAAGGTCGCGCGTCGTAGGCGCCCTCGGTTCTAATGCAGCGCGCCGCGTGAGCCGCGACGTCAGGACGCGATGTCGTCTCGCGTGAGAATCACAAACGCTTCTCTTCGTCGCTCGTATGCTCCTCGCTTGTGAGGCTCGGGGTCCTCCGCAGATCCCTGCGCCGGCAGCGCCAGCGGCAGCGGCAGCGCCGCCGCCGCCGCAGACCTGGCGCAGATGGTCGCGAGCGTCGGCGCAGAGGCCGCGGCGCTGAAGGCCGCGTCGCCGTTCGGCGCCGGCGCGGACTCCCCCGGCAAGTTCGTGGTCGTTCACGAGTCCGTGCCGGTGAGCGAGGATGCGCGGCGCGCAGAGTCAAGTTCGACGACATGTAAGAGTGACCTTGCACCGGAGTGACCTTTGGTGCGGGCCCAATGGGGCCCCCCGATCGCCGAACGCGATGCGGTAGTAGCGTCTGGCGCGCTTGTGTTTGGTCCCCTCGCAGCCCCCCAAAAGCCGCGCACCAAAGGTCGCTCTTGCCCAGGGTCACTCTTGCTTGTAGCCGAAGAAAAAGAAAACAAAAAAAAAACAAAAAAAACGAGAAAGGCAGAAACATAAACTTTTGGAGCGCCGCGCAGGTTCCTTGGATCGGCGTTGGAACCCCCCTGGCGCGTTCCGCGCGCCAGGGAGGGGGTTCCAGCGCGGGTCCAAAAAATCGGCGCGGGCCTCCACAAAAGCTTAGGTCCACGTGGCTTGTCGTTCCTCTAAGCGCGCAGGACCCAGGGCTCGGACAACAGACACAGACCTCAGTGCCCTTGCCCCAGGAGTCTTTCCCCCCGGCTTGGCCCCCTTGGGGCGCCGCCATCGGGCCCCGGGGCCCTCGGAGGTGGCTCCGGGTCGAGGAGCTGCACCCCTGCAGACCCCCGACGTTTCACGACTTCTTCGTAACGTCGACCCCCCCCCCAAAAAAAACGGCATGAACATGAACTCTTGGCGCTCCGCGCGGAGCGCCAAAAGTTCATGATTATGCCGTTTGTTCTACCTCTTGACCTGGGCTTGAGCGCATTCCCCATTCCCTGGGGCGCCGCTGCTGCCCGGGCACCGGCCCCGGGCCCAGGCGGGCGCTGAGCCGCCCCTGGAGGCCTGCGCTTGGGAGCCGAGCGCGCGGGGGGCGGAGTATAAAAAAACAAAAACAAAACAAAAAACAAAAAACAAACGGGACAGGTGTTTCATCCCGAGTCGTTTTGTTGACGGTCCCGAGGCCCTGTGAGGGCCTCCCGAGGCCAAAGCCTCGCGTCGTGATTGGTTCGCGCCGGGGGTCTGGGAAGGTGGAACCGGCGGGTCGAAGAGCTACACCTCGGGGAGTCGCGTCGGGGCGTCCGCGGCGCAGCGCAAGGAAAGCATCGCACCGTGGGCTGTCCTGGGGAAGTCCACCTCCAGGGTTGAGTGGGGCATGTCCCTCTAAGTGCAAAAAAATAGTCTGTGGACGATTTTTCGTGATCTCTTGACTATTTTTGATGTCTCTCTGCGACTGTAAATTTGTCTTCCAAAATCCGCCTGGAGGGGGACGTGCCCACCCTAACGCCAGGTGTGTGGCTCCCTCTGCTGTCTTCCTCGGGGTCCTGACCCCCCCCCTCCCCGGTCCTGACCCTCCCCCCCCGGGCCTCGCGGAGCGGTGGGCACGGACGCGCCGCCCCCGCCCCTGCCAGCGGGATATGCCCGCTGCTCCGCGTCGGGGCTCGAGAGGCGGGGAGCCAGTGCCAACGGGGGTCAGTCAGAGCGCCAGGATCTTGCAGAGGAAAAAAACGGCATGAACATGAACTTTTGGCGCTCCGCGCGGAGCGCCAACAGTTCATGATTATGCAGTTTGGTCTACCTCTTGACCTGGGCTTGAGCGCAGGATCCTGCAGGATATCTGGCAGGATCCTGCAAGTCCTGACTGACCCGGGTCGTGGATGGACCCGGGTCAGGAGATCCCTGGCCACGAGGGCCCCAGCGCAGGGCTCCCGAGGTTGTGGATTCGGGTGGCTTCGGCTGCTGTCGGGGAAGCGTGAGACTCGAGTACGCCGGGACTCGGCCGGCGCTCTCTGTGACGAGCGCGTCCAGGATCTCGACGGCCCACGCCCAATTTCAGACTGGGCCTCGCGGCGTTCACGAGGGCATGATGGCCCCGTCAGGCCACCCCGGGCTCCCTCCTCCTCTTCCTCCTCTTCCTCCTCCTTCTCCTCCTCCTCCTCCTCCTCCTCCTCCTCCTCCAACTCCAACTCCTCCTCCTCCTCCTCCTCCTTCTCCTCCTCCTCCTCCTCCTCCTCCTCCTCCTCCTCCGAACCCGAGTCTCACGTCTCCCCGACGTTTGTGGCGCTCCGGACACGGCCCCGCCTGCGGCGCGCCCTCTTCCCGGCGGAAGCCGGCGGAGTCCAGCCGGCGGCGGGTCCTGCGTGGCGGAGGCGCGGCGGAGGGCGGCGGCCGCAAGAGTGGGGCACGTCACCCTTGGCATCGCTCGGGCGTGTGCATTGTTCCTTCGGCGAGGACCATCGAGGAGCATCCTTGATGATTTGGCGAAGAAGCCACGCACGAAACCGACAAAAAAACACAGGGAATAGACGTCCGAGCGATGGCCAGCACCATGGTTTGATCCAGGGTCTCTGACATCGGCCACGTGCCACGCGTAAGCGAGTGGCCCTGAGCCGCCCGCCCCGTCCTTCTTTTTCCCTCCCTCCTCCTCTTCCTCCTGCACGGTGGCACAGTTCGGCCCAGCGGCACCCGCGCTCCTGCCATTCAGCGCCAGCGCCGTCACCCTCTGCCTCGCCGCCGACGCACAATGGTTTGATCCAGGGCCTCTGACATCGGGCACGTGCACCGGGGGCGGCAAAGAAGGGGGTGATGACCAGGGGGGGGGGGACTTCGTGGCGGAGGCCAAGATATTTCCCCAGATCTCGTGGCGCCTCTTCTTATTTCCATGCGCGCCCTGCCCCCCCCCACCCCCCACCCCTGGGCCGCGCACATGCCGCCAGCCACGATCTGCACGCCCCCCTCGTCTCGGACACCCCCCCCTCTTGGCCGCCCCCGGGTGTGCCTGAGTGGCCCTTCGCCAGAGCGATCTCTGGGTGCGCGACCCCCGAGGACCACAGAGGAGGAGGAGGAGGAGGAGGAGGAGAGGAGGAGGAGGAGAGGAGGAGGAGGAGGAGGAGGAGAGGCGGAGGAGGAGGGGGTGGGGGCGAGGGGGGGGGTTCTTGGTGATCGCCGCTTACTTTTTCAGGAGGGAGAGCTCGAGAGCGTGGCAGGAATGGAGGAGGATGAGGAATGTGTAGGAGGACGAAGAGGGGGAGGGGGAGGAGGAGGAGGAGGAGGAGGAGGGCGGAGGGGGGAGGAGGCCGGAGCGCCCGCACGTGCAGGCCGCTGCTGCCGCCCGCAGCGAGCACGCAGCGGCCGGCACAAGCCGAGCACACCGCCGGCCACCCTCTGCCTCGGGAGACGTCTCTGCGTGTGGCCTGAAGCCGGGCCTGTCCCCCTACAGGACGAATAGTACAAAACGGTCCAAAAATAGCCTGGGGACGATGTTTCGAGCATTTGAGTCGGGCCTGTCCCTCTACAGGGGGAAGATTCCCAAACAGTCCAAAAACAGCCTGGGGACGATGTTTCGAGCATTTGTGTTATCCTTTTTGACTCTTCTTCGGCGGGGCGGCCCGACTTTCGGGTTAGGGGGGGGCGGGTACGGGTTCCATGCGTGTCTTCCCCGTGTTCCCCGACCCCCCGCCCCCCTGGAAGTGGAGGTCAAGCTGAGGCCTTCGGGTTGGGTTGTGGTGGTCTGGTGGGTGCTGATCCCCGCCCAGTGGGGGTCCCCCCTGTGGGTGGTTCGGTGGGTGGGTGTCCCCCCTGTGGGGGGACAGGCCCGACTGAAGTGCAGCCAGGGGCCCCTCGCGGTGGCCGAGGAGTGCGGAGCGGGGCGGCCCTCCAACGCCGCGGGGAGCGCCGCTCTCCGATGGGGGCCGACCCGGCGCCCCTCGCCGGAGGCTCTCTCTCGCGCCTCGGAGGGCTCCGCGGCTGCCCGGGCGGCGTCTGAGAGGCGGGCCGCCTGCTCGGACTTACCAGCCTGGAACAGATCCCTATCCCTATGCCAGGCACCTCCTTATCACGATGCCAATCTCAGGGGTTCCCTTCTTTTTCGAGGGCGAGTCCCTAAGATGGTCATCGCCTTTTGGCCGGTCCATCTTAGGGATAGGGATACGTTCGTGGCTGCTAACGGACGGCTTACTTCTCTTGCGCAGCTGTGTCCTAGAGCTCGGACCTGTTTATGTTCGTTCGTCGTCGTCGTTCGCTCGCTCGTCGTTCGTCTTCCCCCCCGGGCCACAGAGGGGAGCTTCCGGGGGAAGGAGGCGGAAGCCTCCTGTCCCTCGCAGCTCCGTGGTGCAAGAGCCAGGGCACGCGTGCCACGTGTGGATTACCCCGCTTCGCTGGGCCCCCTTTGTTACCGAATCTCCGACGGCAGGATCTGGCTCGCAGCGAGGGCCCCTGGAGGTCTGGGCCCCGTCCCCAGCGAGACCGGCTTCTTCTCATCCAGAGCCGCGCTTTTTCACGGCCCGGGGGGGCCCTTGGATCGGGGGCGGAAAAGAGGGGGGTGATGACCAGGGGGGGGGGATATCATGGCGGGGGCCATGATAGTTCCCCTGATTTCAGGGCGCCTCTTCTTATTTCATTACGTTCCCCGCCCCCCCGCTGGGCCTTGCACATGCCGCCGGCCATGATTTGCACCCCCCCCTCTTGGACACCCCCCTCTTGACCGCTTCCGATTGGAGGCCGAAAAACCATCCAGAACTGGGCATTACCAGAGGTGGCACTGGCCCAAGGTCGTGGGAGGGAAACATATCCATATCCACGGCCTCGCGGGCTGGCCCCCTGGGCCGCGGTCCCATACATACGGGGAGTTGTTTCGCGGATGCCTCGCGCGAAGCGTATTCGTGCGACCACGTATGCACGGGATCGCGCCCTGGAATCCAAACCGCGAGGATGTGGTGGATATGGGTATGGTCGCCGCTCATGACAAGGTGACCCCAGCTGATCCAGGAATGCCCAGATGGCCTCCGTAAAGGATTTCCACTATTTGTCATTCTTTCCTGGGTTCTTCCTATGCCCCCTTATTTTCACGAGCATCAAAGTTGTGTTGTGTTTTGTACCGTGGTTTTCCTCCTGGCTCCAGAGTCTCCAGAGCACCCCTCGCGAGGCCGAGAGGGCCATGGCGCGAAAAACTGGTGGGACCTTGGGCCATGAGAACCTCTAGCAGCCTCCACAGGGCCCATTTCCATCCGATCGATCCGATATCGATTCCAGACGGTCCGATCTCGATATCGATATCGATATCGATTGCGGGCTACTTTCGGGCGGAAGCGAAAACTCCAGACGGCCCGATCCGATTCGATTCCGACGTGCGGGCCGTTGCTCGTATGGCGTTGTTGTGCAGTCTGGCGCAGCCGATCCGATTCGGTTCCGACCCCGTGCTGACGCAGCCGATTCGACGCACATTCCGATTCGACCCGACTTCCCGATTCGAGGCTGCCTGGCCCTGCCTCCGACAGAAGCCGCCCGCCGTGATTTTTGTCACGAGTTGAGTGGGTTCTGGGGCTGCGCGCCATGCCTCAACCCTCCGGACCCGAGAAAGCCGCGTTGGCTAAACGGCCCTGGACGTTTGCTAAACCGCCCTGCCCTGTGCGATTCCTTCTCTGGGCACGTTTCCTAAACGACTTCGCGTGTCGGGGTGGTTATGGGGGTGGATTTGTTTGATCTCTATTGCCCTCAGGAGTTCTCCAGGTCGAGCGCCCGGGTCGCGACGCTGCCCAGGGGCACGGTCGTGGAGGTCCTGGAGATCCCGCTGCGGCCCGACGACGGCCGGGTGCGGGCCAGGCTGGCAGACCCGCCGGGGTGGATCTCGCTGAGGTTCGGCAAGGTCGAGTCGGGCGAGAGGGGGGCGGGGGCGCACCCAGACCTCGGGCGCCTCGACAGAGGCGAGACGGAGGCTTTTCGTGGCCTCTGGCCTCTCGGGGCCCTCGCCGGGCCTCGGGGCCGTCAACAAAACGACTCGGGGTGAGAAAGCGGCCCCGGGGAAGTGGTCGGGAGGGCGCGGGCCCACGCCTCGAGAGAGCCGAGGCGTCGGACGTGTGGGCGTGGTGGGCTCGCGCGGCGGGGCGAGGCCTCGCCGCCGAGCACCTCTGCCCACGGGGCACGGCCGCGCCGGGCCCCGGGGAGGCACCGGGGGGAGCCAGCTGCGACGGGCGAGCGGCACGCACACGCACACACACACACACACACGCACACACACACACACACTTTTGCGTCGGCGGCTGGGCAGAGGGCGACTGCTGCGGCGGACGCGCCGTGTGCAAATTGAGGCCGCACTGCACGGGAGAGGAGGAGGAGGAGGAGGAGGAGGTGGAGGAGGAGGAGAAGGTGGAGGAGGAGGAGGAGGTGGAGGAGGAGGTGGGGGTGGAGGAGGAGGAGGAGGAGGAGGAGGAGGAGGAGGAGGAGGAGGAGGAGGAGGAGCCCCGGCGCGACCTGGGGAGAGGAAGCCGGGCCACTCCGAGTTGCCGATTGCGGCGGAGGGAGCGACACACACACACACACAATTTTGAGTCGGCGGCGCAGGAGGGTCCTCAAGCGCGGGCAGCAGATGAGGTGCTGACTGCGATCGAGCACCGTCGAGTGCCGCACACACAGACACGCACAGCCATACCCACAAGGGGGGCGAAGGGGCTGTGGGTGCGTGCTGTCGGAAGGAGGGACCTCGCTCGAACGGGAGCCCCCCCTGGGGGCGGACAACCTGCACCCACACCCTCACACAGTCCGCCTCCCTCCGACCCCCCCATGGGTGCCCAGACATCCAGCCGCTCCACTTTGTTCGATGCGGGGACCCTGGGGGTCCAGACCACTTCCCTAGGGCAGGTGCTTCGTCCCGAGTCGCTGTTCCGCGCTCCCGAGGCCCGGCGTGGGCCCCCAGAGGCCTAGCACTGCCCCAATCCCGCCGCTCCAAGATTCGAGGGGGCGTCCAGCTGCGTGCGTGCGTTGCGCATTGTGGGTACCCGTTTCGGTGGAGCTCCTATGGGGCCACGAAACTTGTGAAGGGTGCGCCGAAATTTGTGGCGCGGACGCATGTGGACACCGCCACTGGGGCCTTCGGTGTAGCCTTCGGTGACCAATCCCCCCCCCGCGAAGCTCCCTTTTCGTCCGACACGGCGAGAGCGTATTTGCGCGGCCGCAGGGCTAGCTCGCGAGCTCGGCCCCCCTCGCGGTCCGCGCGGCCGGCCGCAGCTCCGCGGGCGGCCCAGGGAGGAGGAGGAGGGAGGAGGAGGAGGAGGAGGAGGAGGAGGAGGAGGAGAAGGAGGGAGGAGGAGGGAGGGCAGGGAGGGAGGGAGGAGGGAGGAGGGAGGGAGGTGAGGGGAGGGGGAGGCGGCGGAGGAGGAGGAGGGGGGGAGGAGGAGGAGGAGGAGGGAGGAGGAGGAGGAGGAGGAGGAGGAGGAGGAGGAGGAGGAGGAGGAGGAGGAGGAGGAGGAGGAGGAGGAGTCGGAGGAGGAGGAGGAGGAGGAGGAGGAGGAGGAGGAGGAGGAGGAGGAGGAGGAGGAGGAGGAGGAGGAGGAGGAGGAGGAGGAGGAGGAGGAGGAGGAGGTAGGAGGGAGGGAGGGAGGAGGGACGGAGGGAGGGAGGGAGGGAGGGAGGAGGGAGGGAGGGAGGGAGGGAGGGAGGGTAGGGAGGAGGAGGGAGCGGCGGGAGGGAGGGAGGGAGGGAGGAGGGAGGGAGGGGGGAGGGAGGGAGGGAGGGAGGGAGAGGATGGGAGGGAGGCGAGGGAGGGAGGGAGGGAGGGAGGGAGGGGAGGAGGAGGGAGGAGGGAGGAGGAGGGGAGGGAGGAGGGAGGAGAGAGGAGGGGAGGAGGAGGAGGAGGAGGAGGAGGAGTGGAGGAGGAGGATGGAGGAGGAGGAGGAGGAGGAGGAGGAGGAGGAGGAGGAGGAGTGTGAATGAGGAGCAGGAGGGGAATGTGGGAGGATCGGGGCGAAGGGGATGCGGACGATCGACAGCAGGAGGAGGATCGCCAGGAGAAGTAGAAGAAGAAGAAGAAGGGGAGGAGGAGAGGAGAAGAAGATGGACGATGGCCAGGGAGGAGGGAGGAGGATCTGAGGAGTTCCAGCATGCACCCACGCTGCTGCAACGCAACCTCTCGCCCCGCGTCCCCTCCTCACAGAGGAAGTCCCGGCAAATAAAAAAAACAAAACAAACAGAGGAAGTCCCGGCAGACCCCCACGTGCCGTTGCACTGCAGGAAGTCGCCCCGCGCGAAAGCCGAGCACTCCCGCGGCCCGCCGCTCGGGCGAGAGCCCCGCCTTGAATAACGAGTGGCCCTGCACCCTGCGCGCGGGCGGGAGGGAGTGCGGCAACGGCAGCGTCAGTGAGCTCGGCGAGGCATGCGGCGAGAGCCCCGCTTTGAAGAGGAGCCGCTCCGCGTCCGTGCACCACTGGCACTCTACATCACGCGTTTGGTGATGATCAGGAGGGAAGAAGACACACGGGCACGGAGAATCGTCGATTTCCAGGAAGAGGTTGGAACAGATGGGAAGCTGGGGGGAAGACCGAATTCAAGAAAGCATGAGGCAGCATGGGGAATCCTGGGCTTTGTGTGTATTTGTTTGTGTGTGTGTGTGTCCCTGGGCCCCTTCAAATCAGGTTGCAGGAAGTCTGATGGCACAAAGCGAGGAACTCCCCAGCGATCGCCCCACTTTGACACGGGGCCGTCCTCCATCCACGCAGTGGTTACACAAGTTTAAGCTTCTAGTTGTTTCAGGTTTGAGGGCGTCATCAACAGCACCAACAAATCAGCATCGAAACAATGTGATCGGCTTTGGCATGTCGTAATTGTCTTACTCATTGTTTTGCCGATCGGCACAGGCCCTCGCACACCCTCCCCCCCCCTCTCCCCCGTGGAGCGTTTCTGGCGCCTGTTTCAAGCAGGTGGAGTTTCCACCATAGAACGCACCGTTGCAAGCAGTCGCGCTAAGCAGAGGTCTGGAGCCAGACCCCCCCCTCCCCCCCTCCCCTTCCCCCCAATGTCGAATCGCCGAATAAGAACTCGCTCACCATGAGCATCGAAGAAGAGTGCTTCTAATTGATGGGGTACTACCAAGCGAGAGCTCTCGGCGTGAAGCGGAACCAGCCTCCTACATCCGTATAGCTGCTGGATGCTTCAAGACGATGTGCGCTGCGTCGCTAAGGCGAGGTCCCATTTTGAAATTGGGCCGCCTCCATCCTGGCAGCCGCTGCAATGTGTTTGAACGAGTGTGTGCGGCGCCAGGTCAAGAACACGTGGAAAACGCTCCAGCCTGCATCCCTGAAGCTGCTGACAGCGCTGAAAACGAATGTGCGCGGCGCCGAGGCGAGAGCCGCATTTCGAAAACCACCCGCCCTCCATGCTTGAAGCTGCTGGAGAGTATCAAGAGGTGCGGGTGCGGCGCTAAGGGCGAGAGCCACTTTCTGAGAACGGCCAGCCTCCCATCCTGGAAGTCGTTGGAGCTCCTGCGCTTCAGGACAGCAAGATGCAAGGGCACACGTCGAGCGAGAAGCCTGGCCTGGTCTGCAAACACGTCTGGTAGCGCGCCAGGGGGGAGACACCCAGAAGGAAGCGGGACGAGAGAGGAGGGCAGAGTGCAGTTCTCTATGTGTCCTCTGAGAGCCCCTCTTGAGGGCGGCCTCCCCTTCCTCCCCCTCCCCGTCCTCGCCTCCCTTCCCCGCTTCCTCCTCCCCTCCTCCCCCCCGTCCTCTCCCCCCGCCTCCCTCCGCTGGAGCTCACGGACCCGGCGCCGTCGTGCCCGAGGCCCTGCCTATATGAGACTGGGCGCGCCTCGAGAAGAAAAGCTCGGTGGACGACGGGCGGCTCCGTGCATGGCCGCGCGGCGCATGCCTCTCGGCGGCCGTGCTCCCTCCTCCTACCTCCCTCCTCCCTCCTCCCCCCTCCCCCCTCCCCCCTCCTCCTCCCTCCTCCCTCCTCCCTCCTCCCTCCTCCCTCCTCCCTCCTCCCTCCTCCCTCCTCCCTCCTCCCTCCCTCCTCCCTCCTCCCTCCTCAACAGGGAGACCGGGCTGCTTCGGCCATGTCGCAAGATCAGCCACGACGATTAAACTGTCAGGTCCCGCCATCAGTCTACGAGGATCGTCTCGCTCCAGCCCCGAGTGCCTCGTGCTCAGAGTCCGGGGGGCGCCGCCTGGCCCGGGAGAGCGGGAGGTAGGGGCGCGATGAGATGTTGCCGGGCAGCTTGTTTCCTTGTCGAGCCCATCCCCAGCCCACGAGAGAGCCTCGGGCCGGCTTCTCGAGCTGAATCAGAGCTGGCTCCCAGGACGCTGCACTACTGCAGGGGCCCTCCTCATCGTCATTATCCTCATCTGTTTCTTCTTATTCCTCCAACTCTTCCTCGCTCTCCCTCCCATCGTTCTCTTCTTCTTCCCCGCCTCCTCCTCCTCCTCCTCCTCCTCCTCCTCCTCCTCCTCCTCCTCCTCTTCCTCCTTTGAGGACGCTCCGCCTCCTCCTCTTCCTCCTCTTCTCTCCTCCTCTCTCATCCTCCCCCTCTGATCATCAGAACCCTTATCACTCTCCCATATCCTCCTCCTCCACCACCTCCTCCGACTCATCCTCCTCATCCTGGGTTTCCTTCGGGGACTACCCACTGGAACTAGAAAGATACAAAGAATATTAGCACACATGCTGATTCCGACGGTGTGCCTCCTCCTCATCCTCCTCATCCTCCTCATCCTCCTCATCCTCGTGATCATCATCAGCATTATCTTCATCATCAGCAGCATCATCATCAGCATCAGCATCATCATCAGCAGCAGCATCCTCGTTATCATCTTCAGCAGCACCATCAACATCAGCATCATCGTCATCATCATCATCATCACCATCATCAGCAGCATCAGCATCAGCATCAGTATCATCATCATCATCATCATCATCATCATCATCATCATCATCATCATCATCATCATTCATCATCATCATCATCATCATCATCATCATCATCGTCATCGTCGTCGTCATCATCATCATCAGCATCAGCATCAGCATCAGCATCAGCATCATCATCAGCATCAGCATCATCATCATCATCAACAGCATCATCAGCATCATCATCGCCATCATCATCATCATCATCATCATCATCATCATCATCATCATCATCATCATCATCATCATCATCATCATCATCATCATCATCATCATCCGCCACTGCCTCCTCATCATCAACCTCATCCCTCCCCCGTTTCCTTCATCCAGGGCTCGTTTCGATCCGATCGACCCGATTCGATCCCGATGTTCCGACGATCCGATGCGGCCCGATGCTTGCATGGGCGGTGCTGCGCATCCTGGCGCAGCCAATTCGTGACGATGTCGATTCCGTGCCCAGGCAATCCCAACCCGAGGCTCGTTCCGATCCGGCTTGATTACGCGACTCAGTGCTGGCTGATCTTCAGAGCGTGAATTACCTGCCCCGCTTCCGCTTCCAGGCAAAACCAAGCCATACCATGCGCCTCCTCGTCAAGCGGCCTGACCAGTACAGGCTGCAACTTGGCATCGTTTGGTATCTCTTGGAAGCGAGGGTGGTCAAAAGCGAGGTAGGTTTGTTATCCCCATAGTGGTCTTGCCATCTGCCCCCCGAACGCCTCTCAGAGCCTCCCCCGCCCCTCCTCTCCAGGACATGCTGCTCCAGGCCGGCGTCCCCGTGGAGGGCCTCGAGCAGGCGGGCTGCCCGCGTGCCCGCGAGCGCCGCCCCCCGGGAGGGAAGGGCGCGAGAGGAGGAGGGTGGAGCATGCAGGAAGGAGCAAGGGCGAGGAGGAGAGGGAGGAGGAGGAGGAGGAGGGCGAGGAGGAGGAGGAGGAGGAGGAGGAGGAGGAGGAGGAGGAGTACGGAGGCGGAGGAGGAGTAGGAGGAGGAGGAGGAGGAGGAGGAAGGAGGAAGGAGTAAAAATAAAGTAAGGAGGAGGAGTGAGGAGGAGGTAGTGAGGAGGAGAGGAGGAGGAGCAGGTACGGAGGAGGAGGTAAGGAGGGAGGAGGAGGAGGAGGAGGAGGAGGAGGAGGACGAGGAGGGCGAGGAGGAGGAGGAGGAGGAGGAGGGCCATATGGACCCACCCCCCACGATCGCCCTTGCGCGGGGGGGCTGGCCTCAGCCCGCACGGCCCGCCGCCGCGCGAGGGGGACCTGGAGACTTCGGGCGCCAGCCGCCGACAGGGGCTATGATGTTCCAAATTCCTCCTCCTCCTCCTCCTCCTCCCTCCTCCTCCCTCCTCCCTCCCCCCACTTTCCTCCTCCTCCCCCTCTCTCCGCCGCCCTCTGCCCCCCCCCCCTCCTCCCCCGCTCCTCTCCCCCCGTCCATGTTCCAAGGGGCCGACAGGAGTTCGGGATCGAGGAAGTACCGAGACTTGAGGACTTTCTCAGGTCGGGCCCTGGAAGGCGATGCCAGTTCGACACCGTCTCGGCACTCTCCTGGGTGCTCGGAGTGACTTCTGGGATGCGGTCCTCTGCACGCTGGGAGCAACATAGGACAAGGGCTGCGAGGTTCGAGTGCCGCGGGTACACTGCCGGCGCGCAGGTCTCCACGGAATGCCAGCCGAGAACGGTGCGCGCGGCCCTGCGCCGCGCCGGGGGCGCTGCCCAACGGGGCTGCGCGACGAGCCATGCGAGGACTTCAAGCGCCTCGCTGCGCCCACGGATCGCCGACAGGGGCTCTGATGTAGCCCGACGCCGCCCAGGAGCGTGGGGAGTCGACATCGGGGACCCCTCGCCGAGCTATCAGCTAGGTGTCGCCGATCCTTCCGGGTCGATGCTTCCCCCCCTAAACTGGAGGAGGATGAAGGAGGGGGAGCAGGAGGAGGAGGAGGAGGAGGAGGAGGAGGAGGAGGAGGAGGAGGAGGAGGAGGACGAGGAGGACGTAGGAGGACGAGGAGGAACGAGGAGGACGAGGACGAGGACGAGGACGAGGGAGAGGACGAGAAGGAGCAAGGAGAAGGAGGACGAGGATGTGCGTTGAGGAGTAAAGAGGAAGAAGGGGAGGAAGAGGAGGAGGAGGAGGAGGAGGATGGATGAGGAGGAGGAGGAGGAGAGGAGGAGGAGGAGAGGAGGAGGAGGTAGGAGGAGGAGGAGAGGAGGAGTCGGAAGGAGGATTACGGAGGAAGAGATGAGTGAGAGGGAGGAGGGAGAAAGGAAGGAGGAGGAGGAGGAGAGACGACGAGGAGGAGGAGGAGGAGGAAGAGGACGAGGACGAGGAGGAGGAGGAGGAGGAGGAGGAGGAGGAGGAGGAGGAGGGAGCGACGAGAATGCGGCGGGCTGCAGAGGACGAGGCACGGCGACGGGAGGGGGGTCGGGAGAGCGCCGCCCTGCCGCGGCGGCACGACGCACCTCGGGGCAGCCCCGGGCACGACGGCCGAGAACGGCGGCGAAGGGCACGACGAACGTGGCGACCCCGCGAGGGCAAGGGAGGGGGGGCGGACCCGAGGAAGAGTGGGGGGGGAGGGGCGCCCTCGCACCTCGATGTTCGAGCCCGAAAATCACCGAGGAGAGCGCCGCAGCCGGCGGCATCGTCCGGGCGGGCCGCCGGCTTGGCAGCGCAGGCCACCCCAGCGGCGCTTCCCTCGAGGGCCGGCTTGGGCGGCCGCCCTCTGCGGCGCGATGCTGGGCGGCGGGTTTCGGGCAGGTTTCGGCCAGGTTCGCCGGACAGCGTCTCGCCGCTGACTGCCTGATGGGTCCGTTTCGCAAGTGGGCCTGGGTCAGGGACCTTTTTTCCGTCGGCGGCGAGGCGGGGCAATCCGCTCCAGCGTGGCAGCGATGCAGGGGCACTACAAAGCGAATTGGCCGGCATGCAGGACCAGGAGGGGGGGGCAGGAGGACAGGCAGGGCGGCCGCGGGGGGAGGAGAAGGGGGAGCACTCAGAGGCGGAAGACTTCCACCATTAGCACTGGGTCAGGGACACCTGGGCGACGCAACAAAAACGGGGCCGTCTGCACCGACATTAGCGCGCAAGCTGCTCGCGTAAGGTCGCGCGTCAGCGCCCTCGTCTCCAAAACAGCGGGGCCGCGCCGGCGGCCCGCGCAAGGTCGCTGTGCCACCTCGCGTGAGACCGGCTTTAGATCGTCGCTCACATGTCCGCCCTTGTTTCGACCACACGCAAGAGTGACCCTTCGCCAGAGTGACCTTTGGTGCGGGCCCACTGGGGTCCCCCGATCGCCGAGCGCGAGGCGGCCAGGGTGTCTTGCGCGCTTGTGTCTGGTCCCCCCGCGGCCCCCAAAGAGCCGCGCACCAAAGGTCACTCTCACCCAGGGTCACTCTTGCGTGTAGCCGATTGCTTCCTTTGAGGGAGGCATCGCTCGGTGGACAAAAAAACCCAAGTCGGGCAGCACGGCCGCGGCGCCGGCCCGCGTGTGGACCTCTGGGCTGCTCGTCGAGAGGGTCCAGGCACGCCCCTCCCCCTCCTCCTCCTCCTCCTCCTCCTCCTCCTCCTCCTCCTCCGCCCCTCCTCACTCCTCCTCCTTCCCCTCGCCTCTCCTCCTCCTCTCCTCCTCCTCCTCCTCCTCCTCCTCCTCCTCCTCCTCCTCCTTCTCCTCCTCCCAAGAACCGCTCTGGCTCGGACGCGGGACCCGCCCGCCTTCGTGCCAGCACCGAGCGTCCGCGACGCGTTCTTGGTGACGGGAGAGTCGCCGCGGCAGCCCGCCGAGTCTCTCCCCGACTAGTTCGGTGCGAACCATGGGGCGCAGCAAGCCAGCTGCGCGATCTCCTGCCCCGCGCAGCCCAAGGGCAGGAAGCGGAGGCAGCTCCCAGCAGAGGAAGGTGGCCTTCATCGATGACTGGACCCGCTGTTCCGCCTGCAAGAAGTGGTTGTGGAATGAGACCTGGGGCGAGGCGCACTGGAAGTGCAGCTGTGGCGCGCAGGTCGAGCCCTTCCGCCGCCGCGAGGCCAGCCGCCCGCCCTCTCGCAGGCCGGTGCGGCCGCCGCGGGGCGGGGTAGGCCAGTGCCCCTGGCATCAGGGCGGAGGCGGCAGCAGCGAGACGAGCTCCAACGGCTCGGACTTCACGTCCTTCCTGGCGCAGCTGGCCGAGAAGGTCAGCACCTCTCCGCAGGCGGACGAGGCGAAGGCGGCCATCAAGCTGGTCCAGCAGCTGGCGGAGCCGCCGCCGCCCGCAGCCCCTGCTGAGGCGGTGAAGCCCCCCGACGAGGTTTTCCGCAAGGCTTCGGGTCTCCACAAGGAAGCAGCCCGCCGCCACCAAGGTTCGGTCGACGCGGTGCTTCGCCTCGAGGAGCAGCTGCGAGCTGCTCGCGTCAAGGAGGGTGAGATCGCGCTCCTCCTTGCAGAGGCCGACCGTGCCAAGGCTGTCGCTGCTGCAGCCATGGCCCGCCACGCGGCGGAGGTGGCGAGGGCGACGGGCGTCTCGGACGACCTCTTCCATCTCTCCTGGGACCCCGACGTGTTCACTAACTTCGAGGGTCTTTCGCCCACGGAGCAGGGCGAGTTGCAGAGCCTTGAGAAGTCCCTCGTCGCTACCAAGGTTGAGCTGGCCGCCAAGGCCAAGCAGGTGCGGGACAAGCTCGCCTCGTCCAGAGCAGCGCTGGTCCGCGTGCGTGGCAGCAGCAGGAGGCGCCGCACTGGCTCCCCTTCGACACTTCGTGAGGAGGGAGGGGGCGCTGAGGACGAGGAGATGGCCGACGTCGGCAGCGACCGCAGCCCGCCGCCTGGCGGCGACGGAGGTGACGCTGAGCTGGCGGCAGCGGCCAAGATGCTCAGTGCCGCCAAGTTTGCAGCCTCGCGTGCAGCGCGCGCAGCAGCAGCAGCTGGGGCGACCGCCGCAGCGGGGCCCCCCGTGCCCCCGACGAGTGCAGCGAACCAGGAGGCAGGAGGCGCTCCCCCCGCTGGAGGCAGCCCCGCCTCCCCGTCGGCCGCGGGGGCTCCCGCCCCCCCTGCCGTGGCCTGACAGGCAGCCGCGGGTCGGGCATGCCTGACGCGGGCTCCTTGGAGCCCGACCCGCGCAGGCCTGGACGCCTCCTCCGTCCGCCGCTCCAGGTGATGAGGAGGTGCTGCAGGCTGAGGGGAGTGAGGTTGCAGCTGGGGCTGCCGACTTCGAGTTTTGTGAAGGCGGCGGCCATCGATTATTCTTTGCGAATGTCACGGAGATGGGGCCGCAGGCTTGGGGATACGTGGAGGAGTCGCTGAACCGCTTCAACTCGTTCAGCTTCGCCGAGACCCACGTGCATGCCGGCCACTTCGAGAAGTGGCGTCGAGAAGCTAAGAAGCTCGATTTGAAGATCATGGCCAATCACGCTCGACCCTCCAGGCGCGGCATGCTGGAGGGCACTGGTGTCGTCAACGGCACTGAGGGAGGAGAGTGGTTGTTGTGTCGGCGTGGGCATCACGTGCACACGCTAGAGGGTAGTGACGATCGTGCGCTGGCCGCCCCTGGTGCTGAGTCCGCCGACGGCTTCCTGGCCAGCGTGCTTCACCTCAAGGACAACAGGCAGGTGGTCGTGGTCACCTTCTACGGTGTGAGTGGGGTCGGCTGGCGCGGCAGCAACTTGCGGCGCTTCGGCAAGCTCGGGGCCCTGCTCCGTGCCGTCAAGGCGCATTGGCTCGTCATGGGTGACTTCAACCTGCCGCGCCAGACCTTGCAGCAGGCTGGTTTCTTGCGCCGCATCGGCGCGCAGGTGGCGATGGCGGACGTGACGACCACCTGCGACGCGGGCCAGCACGGCTCGCAC